AGTCAGGATTTTATTTTTTAATATATGGCATCATGTTTGGAAAGGATACATCTTATTGACTCAGTCTTCAGCACCCCTTTCTGCTTTTCTTTTTGGAAAGCTGTCACCATTATCTACAGAACCTGTCAGACAGTGATTAATAATAGAGGCTATAACATCATACAGTGGTGCCAAGAAAAAACAGGCTAAGCATCACATCTAGTATTACATTATATAGGTCAATTTTATGCCTGTCTGTGTTGTCTCCGTGGTAGTGACAGTTAAAATAACTGTACCACAGGTTTTACCTATCAACCATAAACAAAAAGTCAACTAGGTATTCCATCAGCAAAAAGGATATATTCAGGAAAAGTAAGATTGCGATGTGAAACATGCAGCCATGGTAAGCTACCTGCAAGTCCCCAAGACAAAGAAAAAGGAGAAACTTCTTTTTTAAAGGGGAAGAGGAGGTTAAAAGGAGGGGCTATAACCATGGAGTTATTTTTGTAGGGTTTTCGTGAAGGATATAGGATATAAGAGCTTCAACTACAGGCCCTCTTGATTCCTGTCTTGCTTAAAGTCTCTGTCATTTAGTTTGACAAACTTCTCAATCGATAGTCTGGAAGCTAATAAAATTTTCAATTTTCAATGTCAACAGGTCAGTAAAGCAACATTTCCAGGGCCCTAGTCAGACTTATGACTCTCCCATTCTGTGACAACTCTAAGGAAGGGAGTCTTAATTTAGTCCCTTGGTTTCTAAACCTTTGTACAATTCATGGTTTTCAATATGATAGAGAGCTAAGAAAATGACAAAGAAAACACTGTCTTTGATGGTGACACAATTTTGGTCATTCATTAAACTTCTTTTTAACTATTCAGAACAAGTTGATTCTAAAAGTTATATGGAAATTTAGTAGGCAAAAAAAAAGTAAAGGCAAGATTTAAGAAGAACAAAGTTGTAGAACTACAATAGCCAGAGTGAGTAAAAATATTTTTCCTATTCTTTGATATAGTTTTTTTTTAATGCAAGCTGCATTGTAGTATAGAATAAAAATATTTCTGTGTTGCATATATTGGCTTTACAAATATGGTTTGAATCATCACATGAGCTGTTTCTTTCAGATTAGATCATGCAGAGAATATTTTTAAATAAAAGTGACTTAATTTTGACATTAAAAGGTAAGGCAACAAAAATAACACACAGACCAATGTCATTTCTAAATATCAATGCATAAACAATAAATAAAATATTAAAGTTTTCTTCCACTTATGAAAACATTGTGACAAGATATAGTAAATTGCAAGAATATTAGAAATTTGCAAGAATGGAAAAATATTTAGGGAAGGAAGAAATTTTTCTCTACCCTTCTAGGTTCTTCTGGCTATCTAAGAATTAAATTGACATAGGCAAATCAGTGGTAGAAAATCAATTTTTAATATGTATGCATGGGGAATTCATATAAGCATGAAAATTGCAAAGATAATAAGATAAATGAGGTATATATGTCATTCTGGACTAAGGAGAAGATAGAAAGAATCTGCAGCTTTAAAGGAAAGTAAGGCAATTCACAGGTGGTAAGAAGATAATGTTTAGTAATCAAATGTTTGCTAGGCCATCTAGTGACAAAGGGCCACAGAGAGGACTTTAGTCAAATGGGCCTTACTAGGTTCCTCTTGTCTACCACATCTCGTTTATATTACATTATGGTTATCCAAGGTAATAATTTTTCCTGGAAAAGGCCTTCTGTCTTAAATTCTTTCAGCCAGTTTGGGGGAAGATCAAAAGACCTTCCCAAGACTCTTATTTCTTAAAAATAAAATAATACTTATTCCAAAGAGACACTTCTTTTTAGGGTGGCAAATTTTGCTTCCCTATAAATACTTTGAACTTAGAAAATCTATATAAATAAAATGGAGTTTCTTTCCATTTGCTTGATACTGTATCATACTGAAGTGGTTAGTACAGCATTGGCAATTGTGCAGTAAATCCTTGGGAAGGGTTGAGGGCAAGATAGCCCCTGTCACATAGACAAAATGCACCTGCAGGAATACTTCAGAATGCTGTTTTTTCCTGCTAAAGGAACTGAGAGCAAGGAGAAGTTTTTTTTGATTTTCTGAAGTCAAGTGTTGGTTGTGCAGTGTGGTGTAATAGAAACTCATCTTAAAAGTTGTGGCTGCTGAAAAAGAATGAACCTAGACTGTTGTCTATCACCACACACCATTAACTCAAAATAGATTAAGGACCTGAATATAAAACCTGAGACAATAAAATGCATAGAAGAAAACATAGCAACTAAACTCAAAGACCTTGGACTTAAAGAGAATTTTATGAATTTTTGACCTCAAAAGCAAGGGAAGTAAAAGCTAAAATAAATGAATGGGACTACATCAAACTAAAAAGCTTCTTCTCAGCAAAAGAAATCGTCAACAAAGTAAAGAGACAACCATGCTAATGGGAAAATATATTTGTAAGCAACACCCCTGATAAGAGCCTAACATACAAAATATACAAAGAACTCATACTACTCAATAACAACAACAAAAACAAATGATCCAATCAAAAAATGAGCAGAGGATCTGAACAGACACTTCTCCCTAGAGGACATACAAATGGCGAACAACTATATGAAAAGATGTTCAACATCGCTAGCTATTAGAGAAATGCAAATCAAAACCTCAATGAGATACCATCTCACACCTGTTAGAATAGTGGAATG